TTTTACTTCACTGTAATATAGTCACTGGTCCATATCCTAAACTTGTTTAGACCAGGACAACAAATAAAACTTAAATGGTTTTCAGTCTAGTTAATGGGGATTTCTTAGCTTTAAATGCTTTCATTGTGCTGCTGACTGTCACAACGTATTTGTATTACAGTAGTGTTTGAAGTCCCAGAGACCAATGCTAGGCACTTCACAAATTCTTTTAATACTGCTCAGCAGCGAGTTTTTGTTGATAACAAGTACTTAATGCTCCCGTCATGAATCATTCAAACATGCACTGACCTGGATAGATACGATGGCAGTGTGATTCTCTGCAGAGTGTGTGTAATAAATTATTTCAACCCTGACATTCAGAAAACCACGCGGATATCCTGCCATTCCATTTAACACAAATCCCCTATACCTATTCCATGAAGGGCAGATACGCTCAAAGTTATTTATAAGCGTAACCTCTGAGAAGTCTGAGTCTTCAAAGCATGGGTACTATTAGCATCTACCTCCAAATCAAATAAGTTATTGTGAATATTGATGTTTTTATGTTTAGTTTATTCCTATTTCTTTTACAGAAGTCTCTCAACTACTGTGGGCTAAATTTACGTGAGTTGCTATACTTCCTTCTTAGGGATGAAATAAGTACAGAAAATAGTAGATCATGGGTATGTAGACATTAATTTTGGGGGAGGGGGTGGCACTGCTTACACACACTGATATTTTTCCAAAGTAAACTAACTATATTCCTGTTTAGTCTCCATCAACAGTTAATAACAATAATCATGAAAAAAGTCAGTATCCACAGGAGTTAGCTTGTTGTACACACTGAAGAAATGGCATGACAGCAGACATTTCACATTAAGTTAAAGGACACAGCATAACAAAATGGTGACAAACCGGTACGAGGATGGCTGAACTAACAATTTACGCCCAAGCACGCTCTTCTTCATAATCAACCAGTGACAAAGATAAAAATTCCCACAGTGTAATATTTTTCAATGAAGGTTAAATTATTTGCAGCCTTTTTCATTCTTTCCTAGTTCTCTTCCATATTAATTTTGCCTGTCAAGCACCTGTTACTTTCTTCCTGACCCTCACCCTCTATTTAGTCTTGTAAGTCTTGTTTTCTAAGGCTCTGCTTGCTCTCTTTCTGCTCTCCACTTGAATTCCATTTCTGTATTTGCACCATAGTTCTTCCTTTCAATTTTTTCTTACCACCACTACATCCAGATTTTCATCCAAAAGCCTTTAGGAAGATCTTTCTTCCCCACATGCTCCTTCATAAGCTCCATCTTAAATGTTTCTGGTTTTCATTCATTTCACTTTTCTCCAGTTTCCCCTCTCCACGTAGCAGATCAGGCTGCTTTTCTCCCATCCTCTGGTGAAGAACCTCTAGTCTTCAGAATTATAAAAAAGAAGATTGAACAAATTCAACAAAGGTAGTGGTGTGGGCAATGTGAGAGGGACCAGATAAACAATTCTGTCGAGACATTAGATTTTTTTTTTTTGTTGCTAATTCTGAATTCAGCAACTGTGTATTGAAAGATGTATCATTCTTACCACCCACCTTGGTGCCAGTTGGATTTCTAAACGGCCAGATCCTCGACAAAGATCAAATTTTCAAAGAGGTATATGTATATCAGAGGTACAGGTTGTACCTCACACCCTTGGCAAAGCTGCTGGAAACTTTAATCCATCTTCTTAAATGAAGCCACATGTGTTCCATTAAAACTATTTATTTTTAAATTCTACCAATATAAATTTTCTCAAGTTGTTTCAGAAGTGTTCACTGAGAGGCAGAAACAAACACACACAGTAGTAGCATTATGTCCATTATTACTAAGATATGTCATCCACCTTTTGAGTATTCCATTAATTCCCACATTATTCTGAGTCCATGAAAAATGTCTCAAAGTCCTGTTCTAAGTCTGAAACAAGGGCATCCACAAAGTCTTCAACTGATGGGGCCTTCTGAAGCATACCTATGAAAAGGAACACAACAGCCTCTTAGCAAGAATTATACAAACATTAAAATATTGAGAAAGACTATGTTTAACCTGAACTAATTTGCTCATTAGAGTTGTTAGGATTCGTAATCAAGAAAGAGGTAACCATTCTACATGGGAATTGCCTAGTGCTCAGAGTATCAGCATCCCTCACATGCTCCTCATTAGTATCCCTGTGATCCAGCAAGAATGATCTCCACTTCACAAGCAGATAACTAAGGCACAGGGTAGACTGGTTTGCAAATGGTCACAAGGAAAAACTGCAGCTCACCAGGAACTAGCCATATGTCTGCTGAGTCTCAAGCTGCGGTTTTTGTTTGCTAAAACAGCTACTCTATCCTGATACCCCATATTATACTAAAAAAAAAAGCCCAGCCTCTCACCTGAAGAACCATTAAGATACATTTATCATCAGTGAAGCACATCACATGACCGTATAGTTTAAAATCCTGTCAGGTGATTTCATTTTCTCGTCATATTGTCAGCAAATTCAAGCTTCAATTCAGAAACACAGTACAAGCAGTACCAAGATGGGGTTTGTTTTTTTTTACTGGGGTATTACAACGCAGCACCCTATGGTGCTGACTTTAAAAAAAAATGCAGCCTTCAGCTTTGTTTATACACCATTATTCTATTTTACATAAATTTAGAAATGCCTAGAATATACTACTGTATCAGAACAGAAAACCTGAGTGGCAACATTTATTTTTCAAATCTTTGCTTGGAAAAAAAAAAAGACACTAGTCTCTATTAATAAAGTACAATCAATTCACAAAATAATCAGACAATGTTTGTCAACATGCATTGGCAGCAAACGGTCAACACAAACTGGATTTGCAACAGGAAAAAACACATTTTCTTTAAAAGCATAAAATTATATTGTTTAAATTATTTTGGGTGGTCCGTTGAATACAAATGCAAGACGCTAACTTGCTGAGTGGCTTCTTGTTAAGATTTTAAACATAATTTTTTTTTCACGTGTAGTGGAAAAAAATCAAGAACAGTTTATACAGATCCAGTGTGTGTAAATAAAATGTAACTGCTGTGTGGCTTTGAAGTGATTAATTCTTTCTGACACAACTGCCAACGTAAATATAACCTTGCTCTTCCCTTTAGAATAAGTACACCTAGTGCACATCATTGCATTCTTTCACATCTGTAAGACTATTCAGTTTCGATAGAAATAATAATAGTGGCATTTATGATCAACAAAATCTTTCAGTGCATCTTTCAATAAAATCTGACTAGAGCCAACTGGCTCAATTCAATGTTTCTTGTAAGCACAGTAACTGCTAAATATAATGATTCAAGAAGAAAAGAAACCAAGTCTCCAGGGAATTGTCCCTAGTAACCAGATAGTTTCCTTGCTAGGATTTTAGAGCATCCTGATCTTAGTTAGTTTTAAACATGTATTGCAAGCATCAACATGAACTGCCATAACACCGTGGGTTAACACCATGAATTACAAGAAAAACAAAAAGTTCACAGTAAAGATGGCATTAAAAGGTAATCAAAGAATATTTGCATTTGGTTATTTTCAAAACCAAAGGGAAATAAATGGGTTTTTTAAATGGCCTACCATGATCACTGCCCTAGTTTTTGTAAAATAAAGTATTCAATGTACTTTTAGGACATGGACAAGCATACAGCTGGAGTGGCTTCTCAATGGGAGACGGACTGCTACCGGGGAGTTTGCAGCAGCTGTTACATGTCCATGAGCCTGTAGCCATGCTAGTATACTCAAAATATTCTCCTAGTGGCAACTGCAAGTGTATAAGCATTCACTCAACTTCTCATGGGGAAAAAATGCCCCTTCTGGAAGATCTTCCATGTGTCCACCTGAAAGATTTCCTGTGCGAGAGAAACTCTCACATAAGATGTATGCCTGTAGACATCCGTGGTGGTCCACAAAGGGAGGAGAGGGGAGCAGCGGGGTAATGTTCCTTGACCCTTCCCCAGACTGGGGACTGCCCAGTGTCGGAACTGGCCTGGCCTTCAACTGGCCTGGAAGGGGAGGGGAGTAGCAGGGCAAAGCTCCTCTACTTTCTCTCTCTTTCAGCATGGCGCTTTAAGAGCCACATACCTACAGTGTCATTGGCTCCCCAGACCAGGGCCTCCCAAGTCTGAGCAGCAAGTAGGGAGCTTTGTCCCACTACTCCAGTACCCCCAGGACCAGAGAAGTGGAACAGCTGATGCCTTCCTCAATCTGGGGAAGGGACTGAGAGCAGGGAAGAGGGGGAGGCTCCAGGCTGAATATATGCACTGCTCCCCCACCTAGAACAATTTCCAGCAGTCACAATTTCTCAAATATTGCAAACAGAAATGAATGCCTGTGTGAAGCCAAAGTGAGGGCAATTTAGCTCATTTGTATGGATACAGGCTCATTGTAGATGCAAGTTACAGTGTAATAGCTGCCACGCACTCCCAAGCAGCAGTTCCCCCTACCCTTCTAAAGCCACTCTAAGTGTACACTGGTCCACACCCTTAGTTCATCAAGAAAAGGAGGTGCCTTTTAGACATGTACCTTATGTGGGTGGAAACACACAATGGTGTGCTGAAAGCAGTTAGGGTAGATAGAAACACAAACACCATTTTGACTACAGATCTGCAAACAACAATCCAAAAACAATCCACCCCAAAAATCCACAACCTATGTACAGAGGGGATTTTCTGTGGGAAGACCTCCTGCTCTTTAGTGGATTATGCATCTTGCCACACCATCAGCTTAAGTCTGCATTATTTCCCAGTAGTTTTCCCTGCCATGGAGATACCTTTTTAAAGAAGTCCTCTAAAAATTACTAGCAAGCTTAAAACATGGTTCCACTGAAGCTATACTACTTATGGGCAGCCACAACAAGCAGGCTGCAAGATTCCCTGTAGTCTGTCCCTCTAACAGAACCATTTGTTCCAAAAGCTGTGCGCCTTCTTGCAGGTAACAGAAATCTTAACAGAACACAAGTGATTTTTTTGGTTTTCTCTTCAAAATATTGATAAAAAAAATCAAAAAATATTTTAAAAAGTAATATATTGTATAAAATCAGCCTAACCAAATGACACATACTTGTTCTGTCAAAAAGAATTAGTTAACAAACTTATTGTGCTGTTGACAACTCCAACAAAAAATGACATGAAGATATGTACTAAAAAGAAAAAAATACATGCAAGTCAGTTTGAAAATAAAGAGATGTGATCCGAAGAAGCAAACCCAAGACAATCTGATTTATCTCTTCAGTAAAATAACAACTTATCATAAAAATCCTCCCACTAAAAATTACAGTAAATCAAAGGGAAAGAAAATAACTATAAGTTTATTTTAATATAGCTAAATGAAGCCTCAAAAAACCTTACTCAAAAATTATTTCAAACTGGATTCAAGTGAACTGAAAATTACTTAAAAAGATACCAGCAGCAGAGGTGGTGTCAACCACTGTTTTTAAGCCACAGGGGGTTAAGACTGAGATCTGTATAAGAGACTGTAGAAGACTAGACTGTAGACTGTCTAATGACAAGAAAAGAGAAAGCCCTTACTAAATAAAACACTGAACACAGTAAAAGTCCAAAATTACAATTTAGAATTATGCTACAGCAGTGTTTCAAACTATTCCTGTATATAGGTCACACCACAGGATCAGAGATTTTAAGGCCAAAGGGGACTTTTTGCAGGTCTTGAAAAATGATGGGTGCTGCATAACACTTCAATCTAAATGATTCAGTAAGATGGTCACAAAAACTGGCGGTTGCAGCTTTCAAAACTGTGAGCATATTTTACAAGTTCAGCCTGATTCCTATTCCAAGTCAGTCTCTCCCAAGCCTAGGGCAACTGCATTGCTCACCTCCTCTGCTTTGAAGTTGTCTTCCACATTAAAGCACTGAGGTTAACCACACCCTTTCCAGACATGGTTAGCCATAACCTACAATCACCTGTAAATGGAAAATTATAAAACCTGTGGCAAAACATGGCCTCTGCCCCCTTGGAACCTTGTAATTATTTTGTTTCTGTTTAGTTTGGAATAATATTTATGGCCATTCATAGCTGATGTTATAACCACATTTATCATTCATGTAAAAGCTCCTTATATAAGGCTCCGCAGGCCATATGTTGCTGAACTCTGGCCTACAATATTCACAAACTGCTGTAAGAAAGACAAAAGCACTTCCTGCTCTCACATGGGTGTCGAATAAGATGAAAAGCCACCAAACCCTAATTTCCATTTCGACAAGATTAGTGTTTTAGGTGACCATTATTCAAGCATGCTATTAAGTTTTGCACTGACATTCTTTTAAATAAATTGCTTAAGCGTTAAAGCAAAAACAATACTAAACTAAAAACACATTTTTCCTGCTAATTTGATAAGTACATTTTGGTTTGACTTACACAGAGTTGTAACAAGCAGAGTTGCTCTCTGGGCGAAAGCTGGGGGGTGGGGATGGGGGTGGGCAGGGAGTCACACTTCCAAGAGTGGGGGAGTGGGAAGGTGCAGGGATTCTGGGTTCCCAGAGTTCTTTTTTGGGGGGGGGATGGGACACATGGGATGGGGTGCAGCACAGCAATCCCACCCATCTTGGGAACTCCTAAACAAGGGAACCCCAGCTGAGCTGCTGCTGCCATATGCCCTGCCCACGCCAACTGTTGCTCTTAAAGAAGCAGCAGCAACAGCACTGACAGCAGCAACAACAAGGTGCTGTTTTGCGTAGCCATGGGACGGCTCTTGCTGCTGGGATGCAGCCTACATGGAGATGGGGGGTGATTCCAGTGTCCCTCCTAACTTGGTACTCAGGAAAGTACCCTTCTTTCCCACTCCTAGTTACTGTCCTGGGTTCACAACCCCTTACTGCTTCCACTGCTCTGGCAGCAGTGCCAACCTCACCACCCTGTTACTTGCTAGCCAGACCTGTTGGCATGATTTTTACTACATTGCCTGTTTAACCATTGTCCTTGTCCTCAATTTCAATTTGCACTGCTATCGCTCTCTTTCTTCAGCTTAATACTCTCCGCAGACTTGTTTTGTTCCAGAGAACCCACAAAAAGTTATTAAGAGAAAAGGATTTTTGTGGATAATGTCGTTATTGGACTAAATGCATGATTGAGATAGACAAGCTTTCAGATATCACAATACCCTTCTTCAGGTCTCTTAGAGAAAGTTTCTCTCCCACAGATCCAAAGGAAGGCGGCTCTTAACTATTCCAAAATCAACGTTTTGAAACTTAACTGACATTAATGAATTAATGATACTTTAAGAGCTCAGAGGAAAGGTACTGTATAAGCATAAAGCATTCTTTCATTGAGCACCTAGCTTATATGTTTCAACACTGACATTTACATAGTTTACATACTATGATATGTGCTCAATGTCGGGAGAAAGGTGTTTACTCTGATCACATAATGCAAAGAGATTTTAAGAGGCAGACAACAAAGAATGTCTGAAGGTTGTTTTCATCACTTTTACCTTCTTTTCAAGATAATGCATAATCTAACTTTTCAATTGCTGATCCTAGAACACAAGTTCCAACCCACTACTAAAAGTGATAACAGCAGGGCTAGAAGAGATATTAGCTGAAACACCAAATAATCTTTATTCTTGCTGTATACTGAGAGTGAGTAGTCATAGTGCTGGTGCAGGCTGAAGTATTTTAGTGCTATGATAATGAGATGGCACAAAGACTTCCTGTTTGTCAGCACTCGCAGCACCAGCTACTGCTGACATTTCATGTATTATACAAAACTGGTAGGCTCGGGCAGATTCAGTGTTTATCGGTAAATGTTGATAAGCATCAATTTCACTTCACATTCAGACTGAAGGAAAAATATTTCCATCGTTAATAATCAAAATTTATAGAAAGGGGATGAAAGAAAAATGATGGCTGATGGAGTGTGACAGTGGGAGGAGCAGTCCTACAGAACTGTGCTGACTGTAGTTTGGACAGCAAATCCCAGAAACCCCAGGGGACTGGGAACAAAGGGAGAGGAAGTGACAGAACGGACAAGGGAACTACAGGAGAATGAAGCCAAGACTGATGGCAGTCCTAGAGCAGTTATATTTGTTGCAGCAGGCAGTTAAACTGTACAACCCTGAAAATGTAATTAACACAAATTGAAATAAGTGCTTAAAAATAAACATCAATAATATCTATCAAAATTATTAAAAAATAAAAAATGAATCTGGCCAAAGCTAAAAATTGGTTTAATAAAGGAACACCCCTCCTTTATTAAAACCACCTGACTGAATCCACAGTCCAATGGATTGCAAATTGGCTGAAGGGTCCTACTCAGAAGGTGGTGGTGGACGGGTCATATTCGACCTGGGGGAAGTGGGCAGCGGAGTCCCCCAGGGCTCGGTCCTTGGGTCCGCACTGTTCTATTTCTTTATCAGCGATCTGGACGATGGGGTGAAAAGCAACCTGTTTAAATTTGCTGATGATACCAAAATTTGGGGTGAGGTGGGCACGCTAGTAGGGAGGAAAAGACTGCAGAAAGACCTGGATAGGTTGCAAGGGTGGGCTAACAAAAACAGGATGCGTTTCAATATGGACAAGTGCAGGGTGCTGCACTTGGGCAGTAGTAACCAGCAGCACATTTATAGGATGGGAAACTCCCTTCTTGAGAGCACAGAGGCAGAAAGGGATCTTGGAGTCATCACTGACGTCAGGCCACAGCTGGAGTACTGTGTCCAGTTCTGGGCGCCCCACTTCAAGAGGGATGTGGACAACATTGAGAGGGTCCAGAGGAGGGCCACCCGCATGATCCGGGGACAGCAGGGCAGACCCTACGATGAGAGGCTACAGGACCTGAACCTGTTCAGCCTTCACATGAGAAGGCTGAGGGGGGACCTGGTGACCATCTATAAACTCACTAGGGGGGACCAGAAGGGTTTGGGGGAGACCTTGTTTCCCCTAGCGCCCCCCGGGATAACAAGGAATAACGGCCACAAGTTGTTGGAGAGTAGGTTTAGATTAGACATCCGTAAGAACTACTTCACAGTCAGGGCGGCTAGGATCTGGAACCAACTTCCAAGGGAAGTGGTGCTGGCTCCTACCCTGGGGGTCTTTAAGAAGCAGCTCGATGCCTACATGGCTGGGGTCACTTGAGCCCAGTTTCTCTCCTGCCCAGGCAGGGGGTCGGACTTGAAGATCTACAAGGTCCCTTCCGACCCTACTTCTATGATTCTCTGAGTTCTGAGGATATTTTATAAGACATCCCCCTTCCATCACTCTGTTCCTATTGCTGGAGTTGCAAAATTAGTGGTCCATAAAGCATAATTGAAGGACTAGTCTGTCTAATCAGATAAATCTAACACAGCCCCTGCAGAAATTCTATGAAAACACTGGTTAGATATAAAGGATCGAATACAAAAATACCATTAAATTATTGATTACTAGCCATCTGCTTATAAAAGCTTATACCCCACATCTCTGATTTAGTCTATAAAGGTGTAAATCTAACCTGCCTTCTTTCTGCCTGACTTCAGATTAACACAGCTAAGTACCTTTATTTAAGATGCAACCACAGAAGTTTGTTAAAATTACAAGGGACATTCTGGCTGAAAAATAATAATAGCAACCTTCCTTTTCCTTTTACCTTGAACCATGAGCATGGGCTCTTTTCCTCCACCATGTACCAGCATCTCTCTGCGATAACGTTCACCCATTGCCCTGAAGGAACAGATATAGTAAGATTATGGCCAACTGCATTCACAACCTGCTTGGCTTTCACTCGCATTTGTCTTCAGCTTCTTCAAAGAACTGACACAGAAATAGATCTAATGAAGCCTGCTGCCATGAAGCAATAGCTGTCTTCATTCCACTGACTCCAGAACTGCAGAATTTACTTAAAATTACAATATAAAGGACAGAGCTGGATAAATGTGATAAAAATAAGTTGCTATTATTTAATATTTTAACTTGGCAAAGTATTTCTTAGCATTTGCTGCAATAAAGAGAAAAATTTAAAAAGTTTCCTGTAGCTGCTTAGAGTACTCAGTTAAATTATAAGAATGGTCTGGTATCTTTCATTTCACAACATATCCTCAAAAGAATAACATAACCTTATAAATGATTTTATAATGAAAAAATCCATTTGTCAGACTTATTCAAATAAGGACCTGTGAATACATTTCTATTTTTGTTTTATTTCCCTTCAGCAGGCTGAATATACAATACTTCATCAAACTTTTCATGTCTCATTAACTTTATCTGTAGCTGATGAAATGCCCAAGTAATACCTCAGATATGGCTGCCTACAGCATCCCCGAGAATCAACCAGTAATGCTCCACACGTCTCCCAGAGTGTTGCATGAGTCACATGAGGGGATCCAATATCCTCAGTGTTCCTAGTTCCTATACATGAGGGGAGCAGGTGACTACCCTAGGCACATTTGGGATCCCAGCTTGATCATTACATCTGAAGTGACATTTGTGGCTTCATTTAATTAATAGCTTTGAAAACATCAGGAAATGCAGATATTATTGTTTATTTTCATCAATTTTCACACATCTGGAAGGATTTCCTTGTTTTCAGAAATCAGTTTGAATTTTAAACATCACACGTTAAAACAAAGGATGTCTGAAGTGCTGAAAGACGCTTTCTATAAATAAGACTGATTTTGAGAGCCCACATGATATTTAAATTAAATGCTAATTCAATGCAAAAAGGAGCTTGCACAATGCAACAACCAACTTACTATCTGTGGACAGACAAATCAAGAGAGGCTACACGGAAGAGGAACTGGCAATTGACATAAAAGTCAGCTAGATCCACTGAAAGCAGCATGGTAGAATTGCCCCTGAAGGAACATCTATGCAGCGCAATGCCAGTGTCATGCAGAAATACCTGAACTAGCCAGCTTGAGTACTGGAAACTGTAAAACCATATAAGAATAATGTTCTGCCATGGATTATTTATAACCTACTACTGTAACCATTCTACAACAAGTATCTGAGTAAATTTAGGTACTTCTATGTGGCACTGCAGAAACAGTGCAATGTAGACATACCCTAAATGGGACCTAGATTCACACAGTGTAAGAAGACTTGCAACAGATGAGCTCAGGGAGGCTATGCTATGCAAAATAGGCTGAAAATGAAAGGCACAGAAGAGATGCTACAAAAAGCCAACAAACAAGCAAATAGAGCTACGTAGACTGGTAGAGCAGAGAAATGCAATGCAAAGGGAAATAACCAGGTAAAGGCTTTGAAGTTGGTGATAAAAAGTTTGTTTAATACTTACAGCTCCTTCAGACTTCAATCAAAGTTACAGGTAATTAGCCACTCTGAAAATCAAGCTATTTAATTAGAGGTCTAACTATGAATTTGGGTGCTTCTCACCTGGAACCTATGTTTTAAAATTCTGGCTTGAATTCTCTGCATCATTGAACATGTTCTAAAATACACCTGTGCTTCTACTTTGTTACATTTTTTAAAATTAACCACAGTGCAAAACAATTGGAATGGGATAAAAAAGAATGCAAGATGTTAATACAGATATAGCAAGGATGCTTCCTGATTGTCAGAACAAGCAGGCCATTAAATACCGCTCTGTGCATTTTTTCCCTTTTTACCTGTCAAATGGGTCCTGAGCAAAACACTGTTTCCACACCATGGAGGCGACAGCCCTGGACATGAGGTAAGAGTAGTATTTAGCACTATATCCCACAAGATGGCTGAATCTCAGCTGCCAAGCCTATAAGGAGAAGGAATCAATGGAATTCATGTCACTTCTATCCATCATATTATTTTGATGTTACATATTATCCTTACAACAGATTCTTTCTGGCAAAAAGTGCACAAACTGGACATTGAATCCATTAATTAATACAGTGACAGCTAGAATAATATAAATGAAAGACTCTGATGCTAGTAATGAGAAATGGCCAAAAAATTAATATAAAAACCTTATTCTATTTAGTATTATTTGAGCAAAACATTATTTTTGTGCTATGGTGATCAGCATCATATGAGTAAACAAGGTCAAAAGCAGAGAAAAGTAAGTGTAAATAGTATAAAATATGGACATATTTAAGTATGACTAAATTTCTATTTGTGGTTAAGAGAAAAAAAAAGAAATCCACTTATTACAAGCAACACCATGTTTTATCATTTTCCACATGGATAATTGCAGTGCCACATTTGAAAAAAGTTAAATCCATAAGCTTTTGCCACAAACAAAATTATAGGAGAGGCTTGTATTTGGTACTATATAAAGTACAGCTTTCCCACATACCAAAATACAGGCTCAGAGGTAGATGAATTACATCCACATGCCAGACCATTGTTTGCAGATTTGTTTATATATTTGTAACAGATTAGGCTGTAATGATATAATTGTTTGTCTGAGCTGTCACTTAGCTTTCTGACTCATTCCAGGGCAGGTGGATTCCCCTCTTAATGCTGCTTTGTGTTTACTATTTGGCTGTTTCTTTAACAGAGAAACTTGGAAATATCTGTTCTACACACAAGAAAAATGTCCATGTTTTTAGAGTTTCCCTGCCTGTAATGTGGAAAGGACAGCAAATTTAAACTGAAAACACATATGCTTCCCTGCAGTCTTCTTACATGCTTCTTCAAAGTAAGTTACACCCAAGGAATAATGGATGAACAAGAAAGCCTTATTTGCCTTATTGGCTCCTTCTCAGGAAGGTAAGAGGCAGTCAATTCACACCACTTATTTGTCTAAATGTAATCCAGTCTCCTCTCTGGATAATAATTTGAATGTTAAAAGTATGAAAGAGAGGAAGCCTCTTCCATATGAAACTGGGAAACAAGGTCAGAAACACCTAACCTTTCCTGAAGTCTTTTGGGCAGGGGAAGGAGGGAGCAGCAGTAAAGAATCTTTTGAAATCCTTTTCAGACTCAGCTTCTTCCTTTAAAGCAGGCCCATGAGCACAGTCCAAAAGTCAACAGATTCTGCTACTAGAAAGCATGCTTGGAGGGAGGCCCACATAAGGACCCTCAACTTCTATGAAGGCTTTATGTAGGAGTCTGGGTAAGGCAGGTGCACTTTACTGTTTAATTATTTTTATTACTGCAGTGCATAGGAACTTCAGTCACTGAGCAGAACACTCTTGTGCTAGGTGCTGCTTAAACACTGGGGCAGAGGGGAAGGGGGAAAGAGGGTGAATCTCTACTCTGAAATAAATTATAATTCAAATGTAGACAAGATATGAAACTATAAGATGTGATTGATACAGGCATTATGATATAATTCTGGTCAGCATGGTAGGCAGTGGTCTCAACACACGAAGTAAGCACTGTCAAGATTTTTACAGGCACTACAACAAAGGAGAATTTTAACAGGGGATTTGAAGGATAAATGAGTCCATTGTGGAGGTGTTTCCAATCAGAATCGATGGACTGTTGGGGTTTTTTTGGTTATTTTTGTTTTTTGGGGAGGGAGGGAGGGGGTGTTCCTCCTAACACTATTGGATAAAGTTCTGAGGTAGACTGAGCAGAAAGAAGCTAGGAGCATATTGGAAGTTAAAATCCAGGACCAAAAAACAAGATCTAAAAGTTTGATTTAACCCAATCAAAAACAGCAGTCCTCTCATTTTTAAGAGTAGAGACTGGCAAAGTTAGTTTGTTGGGCTTTATGAAGTGCTGGTGCACTTTTGACGCATACGTCAACTGAAACTACTGATTAAGAGAGATTTTTGGTGCAAAAATCACCTGTGGTTTCTGCTTCAAGTCGAACAGAAAATTTGTTGCCCACTGGCTCAGATCCTCACAAAGAGAATGATGACAGATGAAGCTGGCTGCTCCTTTCTCTGTGAAATGTTAAATATTCCCACCTAACACCACAGAGGGGTACATTTTTAAAACTATACAATGCCCAAAGAACTGTTTGGAAAATGGATTCCTGGTTTGTACTACAACAGCATAAATCAACGCATCCTACTTTGACCTCATTTAAAAAGAGGCTTTTCATAACACAGTGCAAAGCATAATCCACACAATGAAAGAAAATTTAATCAGTTTATAAAATTTTTCTCACTGGAATGAAATATCTAAAAATCACACTAAAAAGTGCCTTGTGACTTGATGGAAGTTCTTAAAAATGAATTTTAAACCCAATTATCCTACCCTAGGAGAGCACATGGTTTGAGACTCAGTTCAGCTTGCACTAAGAAGTTCTGCAGTTATGCAGTATTTCTATACAACATCTACAATTTTTCTAGCAACTCCCTTAATTTATCCATAATCACTAAACTGAAAAGACATTTTGAAACAGACGGAGAGGACACTAATGTTAGAAGATTGAACCAGGAAAACATGCCAGTCTTTATTTTATTCTATAATAGGTCATCATTCTCATAGGTCAGAGGCTTTAAGGTTTCAGCTTGAAATACAGCAGTTTTTCCAGGGGAAAAAAAACAAATAAACCTTGTATTGTTCTTTTTCTTCCACGTACTTAGAAGTGTAATAATTTCCAAATCTGTGTATGAAATATTGAAAGAACACAGCTTTTTTGGTACTAGGGGAGGAGAACCCTTTCCAGAAGCTTGGCATAAGGGAGACGGCTTCATCCTGCCTTATGTCCCTCAGTAAGTAAAGATTTAATAATCTCCAACTGAAAGACATAGCAGCATGGCTCTTCAAGAAAGGAAGCGCAGCCATCTGGCCCTTCGTTCTTTCTACTGGACATCTATAAAGTACTACATTCAACCCAAGGGCTTAGTTTATCTTTAAAGGTACTCAACAGTCTGAGCCCAGAGTAACTAAAAGATCCCCGATAACACCTCCATTCTTCAGGGCCAACAGGCTGGTCACAAATAAGCAGGAGACAGATTTTCTCAAGTTCTGGTCCAAAATGGTAAAACACATTTCCTGCTTGAGTTACAGGGCAAGAAGGATTTTATAAGAAGTTTCTTAACTCCCAAAAGCTGTAGACAAGTCTCCTATTGCAGAACACAAATCTCTAGGTATAGCTTTTTGGTTTTTTGCAGTATCCCCACACAAAGTGGATCCCAATTATTCCGATCCTTAAAGCAGTTATCAACTCCCCAAATCCAACTCCAAGACTTTTCAGTATTATACAAGCAAGTTTTTCCAGCTCTTTAGCTATTAACTCCTAAACCTGGCCCAAGGAAGTCAAGTTTTAAACATTTACAGTAAAAGCTGTGTTAACTGGCACGAGTGGGGTAAGGGGGGTGCCAGGTATCTAAAAATTCCAGTTATCTGAGGCAGGGCTTTTCAAACTTTTTGAAAACCCCTGTGGAGCTGGGAGGGGGAAGCAGCCGCACGCAGAGTGGGATCGGAGGGGTGGGGCATGGCAGCAGCCGTACACAGAGTGGCAGCAGTGCAGGGTGGTGTGTGAGGAAGCTGCGTGCATTTTTCCATGATTAAAATGCAATGCCACTATATATATGTAGAGAGAGAGAGAGAGAGAGAGAAGTAGACAGATAAAGGTATCAATTTAACACGGTTTTATTGATATAGCTATAATTTTAAAACAATTTGGAAGCCTCCCAGTACCTCAATCATTATAATAAAATAAATTTGAAATACCTATATATTTTGGCATTTGATTTTAGTTATTTTTATCATGGAAAAATCAGAGCTCCCTGCAGCAGGGCACTGCGATGTGGCTGCTCCTTTAAGGGCACAAGCAGTCCCAAGAGGCTGCTTGCAGGTGGCACAGGCAGCTAACAAGAGACTCACCTGACCAGAAGGGGGCTTAGGCTGGCACTATATAAGCCCAGAGCCTGCACCGGTCAGGCAGTCTCTCCTTGGCAGCCATGAAGCTCCTGGCTGCAGGGCTCCTGAAGGGACCTGGATTTAACTAAACAACTCTGCAGGCCTGGAAACACAGGCAAGTTCCCTGGACAGATAAAAACTGGGTTTGGCAGGCAAGCAGCCTTTGTTTTATGTTAAACCCCTAGGCTAGGAACAGAAGTTACACATTAACTGGTTTATATGATCAGAAACTGGTTTAAACCTGTAACAGAAATTCAGTGCATGTAAACCAGTTTCAAAATGGCTGAAACTGGTTTCAAATATACCTGGTTGAATGTAGCATCAGATTTAACTGATTTGGGTCAAACTGGTTTATGAAACTTCTATCCCAAACCCCTTCCTGGTTCAAGTTAAATCACAGTCCCCCAGAATCCCAGCATGCTCTCCTGCCCTGGGCTGAGCTCAGCTGTCTGCTCCAGAGAGCAGGGCTGGCTGCACCCCTCTGCACCATAGCTGGAGCAGTGACAGCTAGCTCACTGCACCACCCCCCTCACTCCCCCTCTCCCCCCGCCCCCGGCAAACCTTGCTGGGGCCTGGGGCCAGGAGGGGGGTTAAACTTCCCTTCCCGCGGGTACGGAGATGCTCTGCCCTGCTTACTTAGTGCTGGCTGCAACTGTGGACTACAAATCCCAGAAGTTAGGAAGCAGGAAGAGGAAGTGATGAACAACCCTGCAGAGTCTTGCTGTTGTGAGACTGGGCTGCAAATCCCAGAGACCTCAAGAGCAGCAGGAAGAGGAAGCAAACACACAATCCATGCTGGCTACATGCCAGAGAGCCATGCTGTAGTACCCCTCGGCTTTTGGCTTGGGCCACTGCAGGCACGCGGCTGCACTTTCGGGATGTGGCTGCATTTCCTGAATCAAAAGTAAATGTCTGTTCATTTGCTTATTGGTTCAATCTTTGCAGCTCAGACTAACCTGCAAAGAGTGAATCAATTCAGCCTCAGGTTTT